GGGGGCGAAGCCGCGCCCGCAGTCCGGGCAGAGGAAGGACCGCTGGCTCGCGGGAGCGCCCGGGGCCGCCGGTGTGCTTCGGGGCGCGCAGGCCGAGGGCTCGGTGGCAGCGGCGGGGTCCACGGTGGCGCCCAGTGTGCACTCGTCGTACCCGAAAGGGCGCCCCTCGCCACGGTGCAGACGCTGGTGCATGGCGAGGTTTTTCTTCCAGCCGAAGCTCAGGCCGCAGTCGGGGCAGGAGAAAGGCTTGGGCCCGGGAGGGGACGGAGTTGGGGACGGGGCAGGGGACGTGGGCGAGGCGGGCGCGTCGGGGGAGGACGGGGCGCGGCCGGCCGCCTCGTGGACCCTCTGGTGCCGCACCAGGTGTTGCTTGTGCGTGAAGCTGCGCGCGCACTGCGCGCACTGGTAGGGCCTCTCGCCCGTATGGATGCGCTGGTGGCGGATCAGGTGCGTCTTCTTGCGAAAGCGCTTCTCGCACTCGGGGCAGGGGAAGGGCCGCTCGCCCGTGTGCGTCTTCTGGTGCGAGCCCAGGTGTATCTTCTGGCTGAAGCGCTTGCCGCACTCTGCGCACGGGAAGGGCCGCTCGCCCGTGTGCGTGCGCAGGTGGCGGGTCAGGTGGGCCTTCTTGCTGAAGCGCTTGCCGCACTCGGAGCACGGGAAGGGCCGCTCGCCGCGGTGGCTGCCCTGGTGCAGCAGCATGTGCGCGCGCTGCGTGAAGCTGCGGCCGCAGTCCGGGCAGGCGCAAGGGCCCTCGCCGCGGTGCAGCCTCTGGTGCAGCCGCAGGGTCAGCTGGTCCCGGAAGCGGCGCTCACACTCCCCGCAGCCATAGGGCTTCTCCGAGGTCGGGACCCACCCCGCCAGCGCGAGCCCGCCCAGTGCCCCTGGGGCCCCCGGCTCCAGCTTATAGGCGGCGGCCAGAGGCCCCAGGTCAGGTGCGGGAAGGGGGCTGGGGAGTAATGACAGATGCTGGGGCCATTCCACCGCCTCTCCTGCCTCGTGATCTTCCACCTCCACCTTCACCTGCCGAATCATCCACTCCTCCCCTGAAAGATCAAAACAAGGCGAGTCTGTTAAGCCCCACATTTATTTATGTGCCGTTTATTTGCCAATACGACCACCACTTCCTGGAGCCCTGAAGTGTAGCTTCTGCTCTTTCCACTGGGAAATTCCTGGGAATGACCAAACCCAAAGATCACTGCAAGTCCTCCTCCCGGGCTCTCTGCTGCGGGGACGCTTTCGCCCCGGTTTGCCTGCCTCCCTGCCTCTGGACTAGCCTCCCCTTACTCTCCCTCAAGGTTCAGTCCTCAGGTTCCTGTCCTGGCTCATATGTCCACGTGGCCCCCCAGATCTTTCTGTTCTGGAACCTCAACCTCTCATCTCCAGCTGAGCGACTCCCCTGCGTGTCCTGCGAATTGGTTACAGCTCAGCAGGCTTACCACCAAACACCCCACCTTCCCAGACGTACCCCGCTGATGTCAACAGTAGGCCTACAGCCTCCTCCTTCCAGCGGGCTACACGTGGAACCTTGACCTTCACCTTTGACGCCCCCCTTGCTCTCTAACTCCTCCCCAGTGGCCACTGAGTACCTCCGCATTCCTTCCCGTGGTTTCTCAAAGGCTCCCCCTGCTCATACACCCTTCGTTGCTGCTTCTAGGGCCAGGTGGGAAATCCCAGTTTCAGAAGAGGACTGAGTTTACAGGACTTGGGGGACCAATGGATGGTGCCACTGCTGGAAAGCAGGGAGGGCCCTCTTAGGGAGCAGGTTGGAGACGGGTTCCCCTGGAGCTTTGCCCACTCTTGGGCACTGCAATGGCCCAGCCAAGAGGAAGGAGCTCAGGACCCAGACCGGGAGTGTCCCCTTGGGTTCTCCTCTGCCACTAAGCAGCAGTGTGACCATGGTTGAGTCACTTAATCTCTTTGAACTAAGTTTGTTAGCTTGCTTAGGCGTAAAGGTTGGACCAATTCATGGTTCCTAAATCTGGTGCCATGTCATAATCTCCTGGGCAACTTTCACAAAACGCATCTATGGGGGCCGGGCCCGTGAATCTGTTCTCTTTCTTTCAAGCTCCCAAAGTGATTCTTGTTTGAGAACCTTTGTACCGGCTGATCGGAGGTCCTGTCTGGCTCTAAAAGTCTGTAATAGCCTGAGCCTTGGTTACATTACACGTGCCCTATCACAATTAGATTTACTCCTAGTTTCTTTTATCCATCCATCAGTTCCAAACACCTCTTTATCATACTGTGATATCGCTTTCATTTTCATTGGGCCACTCTTCTACTGAAGAACCATCAATAGCTCCCTATTATTTAGAGGATAAAGTAAGTTCTAGCCACATCTGAGGCTCACGCCAACCTAGTCCAACTCCCTTAATACTCCCAGGCATGAACCCCTCACTTCAGGCAAGCTGGGCTTCTGCAACCCCAGTCACATGTCAACTTCCCTATAGTTCGAAGTCTCTTCTCAGCCTAGAATGTTTTCCCATCCTCCACCCTCACCCTCATCCAAGCTGGAGTCCATGCCTCTCTCAATATGGAGCACGAATCAACGAAACCTTTGACAAATCCAACACACGAGGATCTCATATAAACACTGAAGTGTTGACACTTTCACACTTCCTTGTGACACGCCTTTATTGTTATTTGTTCTTTTAATTCTTTATTCTGGCTCATATTGGTATCAGATTTCAGTTTCTGGAGGGCGGACATCTTGTGTTCTCTTTCTTTATGCGCCTGATAAAAATGAGGATTGCCACCACGTACTGAGTGCCAACTGCAGATGACGCGCTGTATATACTCTCTCACAAACCTTCACAAAATCCCCTGTGCAGAAGTGACTCTTATTTCCCGTGAACAAACTGAGGGTCCTCTAGCCTATCCAAGGTCACTCAGCCAATAATTGTGGAGCAAGGATTCAAAGCAGGACTGTGTCACCCTAGAGCCCCTCTCTTCCCGCTCTACCTAACACAGCCTGGACCTACTGGGCACTAAATAAGCCCTTGTGGAATAAGTGACATCACTCAGGCAGAAGGTGATAAAGCTGGTGGTAGTGGAAGGAAGTGATGGGTAGGACTGTGGAGAGAGAACGAACTGTTGGATCGCCTTGCGTATGGGGGAGATGCGTCAAATACAACAGATTCGGAGCATTTGCGTAGCACCGAGATCAGTGGAGATTTGGGGGAAGGAGCATGTCTGGGGAGAGACAGTGAAAAGGTTGATCAATGCCATATGTCTTCCTGGGAATCATATTTCAAGTTGTCAACAGGAATGAACTTTGGGGGAGACACAGGCTGGGAAGTTAAGACTCCTGGAGGATGTTGAGGTGAGAGTGTGTTTCTCTTTGGTGGCCAGCCTCTCTGATTCCTGTTGTCTGTGGATGTAGAATTCCCTCTGCGTGCTGAAGCTCTACAGCAGAAAGGTGCCAGGGCCTGATTCATCTTGGGTTGGTAGGGCCTGGGGTGGCTGCCTCCTCAGATAGCAGCTCGGGAGCTGGCAGGCCCCTGCTCCCTCCGCCTGGCCCCCCGGTGGGATGGAGAGCTGGGAGGACTCACCTGGGCAGGAGCCCATGGGCTCAGCCTTCCGTGGTGCACGTGCCCGGCCTCCTCTGCAGGGAGCTTCAGCTTGTCCAGTGGGGCCACCTTCCTCTGGTCTGGGGGCCTCACGCCCTGGCAGAGAACAGGCTACCTCAAGGACGCCGCAGACATCAGAGATGGACAGAGCTCCCCACTGGCGCTAGGAAGCAGGGGCTTTTGACACCCCAGTCCCAGCCCCACCGGCAGGATTGCATCCCACATCATACCTGCAGGGGCTGAATTCCCAGCTGCCCCAGGGCAGCCTCAGGCTCCTTCAAGCAGGGCAGCTGCTAAGGCCGTGCAGGTTGCAAGAGCCACAGCTGTGAGGAGTTTCTGGAATATGTGTGTGTAAGATAGTGGAAGCAAGGAAGGGTCCCTGCCCTGAGGCTTACATGAGGCTCCTAGGAGGGGAGATGGGGAACCTCCCAGCCACCAGATGGACTCCAGTTCCCAGGCAAATCATTAGAGGAGATCGGGGTGTCAGAAAGCCAGGTCCACGCCTGCCTTAGGCATCTTCTCCCCATATCTGCTTAGCTGCCTCCCTCACCTCCTTCCAATCTTACTTTCCCAATGAGGCCTACTTTCACTCCACTATTTAATCCTCCAGCCTGCCCCACCCCTACCTGCAGTGGTCTTAGGCTCCCTCACCCTGCTTTACGCCCCCAAAGCACATAGCCTCTTCTAACACAGGTTATAAGTACACTTCTTTCTACATTTGTTGTCTGTTGACCCCCTGCCCTCACTAGGATTAAGCTCCTGGAAGGTAGGGATCTGTCTCCTTGGTCACTGAGGTATCCTGAATATCTAGAATAGCACGGAGCACTTAGTAGGTGCTCAGTAAACATCTGATGAACAAAAGAAGGAAGACTCCGCCCTGAGCCACCTTCCCTGGTCCCCACTTACTTACCTGAGCATTTGCCCAGCGCTCTCTCTTCCCGGGGAGGGGACATCTGTTCCTGGGCATTATGGGACTCTTCCCCAGGCTCACTTTGGGGGGCCATCTCCGGCTGTCCCACAGAGAGTCCTGTTACAGGCAAAAGGATGGGTCCAAGTAAAGCACAAAGTACAGAAGAGGTGATCAAAGATGGGGGGTCTTCCCCTTCCCAGCCCACCCAATGGGTTTTTCCCATGTGCTCAGGAAGGAAGGGTCTCTAACTAGGACAAGGGACAGCCAGGCCCTGCAGTGCCTTGGCCAGGTATCGACCTCAGCCCCCTTGCACTTCATCAAGGACAGGCGACAGAAAGAAGAGAGAGAATAGATTTAAATATCCTGGTGTTCTGTGAGTACTAGCACAACTTCCAACGTGGACCAGGCATTCTTCCTGATGAAACCGAAAAGGATGCTGTCCTAAAGAAAGGCTCCTCGGGTCTCCGGGGTATCAGGGTGGCAACCTCCTAAGGATGCTCTGCTGTCTGAATTAGGGAAGCAGCAGGCGTAGTATGCTCTTGAATCCTCCTATTCCCCTGCCCCCCATCCAAGTTCCTTCAGTTCTGCCGGCTCACCCAGGGACCTGAGGGCCTCGAAGGTCTCTCTCATGGCAACCCAGGATAACTCCTCCTGGGGATCCGGCCACAGACCCTAAGGAGAAATACAACCTTGCTCAGATTCTTCTCAGCTTCCACCTGGGTCCTGGCTCTGCCCAACCTCTCCCCGTCAGCTATCTCCAGGAGCTCCAAAGGTGATGTCCTCAGGTACAGGTGAGGGAAATGAGGGAACGTGGATTTCAGAAAGCAGAGACCTTTGAAGGTGGACCAAGGCGAAGGCCTTGAAGCCGTTTCTGCAAGCTAAGCTCAGGTCAGCTCTGGAAATCAGCCTGCCACCCTCACCTGCAGGTCTCTCAGAGCCAGCACCGGCCCTTCAGCGCTTCCCGCCCCCCAGGGCCCTTGCCTGGGGGTGTCGGGAATCAACTGATTCTCTGGGGAGAGGGTGGAGGGTGGGAGACCAGAGGGGAGAGCGGGGAACTTCGTCTCCTAGGCCCTCCAGCTGTCATTGCAGGAGCCGGTGAAATAGGAGCCAGCCTAGGGGCGGAGGTGAGTATCACTACTGGGCAACTGGTGGGCAGGCCCTCGGAGGAGGGTCCTCACCGGAGGCAGGAATAACTCTGGCTTCACCTCCCCAAAACCATCGCCCCTCCCCCGCGGGGCTTTCCCAGGCTTGGACACCCGGCCCTCGAGCCGCCTTCGCGGCTCCTCCTCCAGCGGGTCCCCCGCCCCCCCCCCCCCCCCCCCCCCGCCCCCCCCCCCCCCCCCCCCCCCCCCCCCCCCCCC